AATTTTGTTTGTGTGTGTGTGTGTGTGTGTGTGTGTGTGTGTGTGTGTGTGTGTGTGTGTGTGTGTGTGTGTGTTTGTGCGGTTACGCGTGATAGTAAAAAGGTGGCATGGCAGCGGACCAAACATAGTGACCTCTCCGGCTAGATGTGGTGCCCTCTAGTGGACGTGGTGGTCAGTGGACGTGGTGGACGTGGTGGTCAGTGGACGTGGTGGTCACGCCTTCTGGTTCTCCACCTGCTGGAAGACTCCGACTAGAGCGGTCAGCAGCCTCGTCCAGGCCTGCGTCACTTCCGGGGACAGCTGGTCCTGCTTGAGCACGTGACAGAAGTATCCCTCAGTTATGGCGGACAGATGCTGGCGATACAAGGGGTCAATCGGTCAGTTGTTTTCTTTGGGTGAGTGTTTTAAGGCAAGATTGAAGGAAAACAATAATAATAAAAATATACTGACGGTCATAAAAAACGCACCACTTACAAAACAATTCAAATAATAGAGATGTGTTTGTTTCTTAAAACAGATTGTATAGCATTGCATTCTATGGTCATTGTGTGAACATTCACAGCTGAAATGACAAAAGGTCAAATGACACCTCGAACACAAAAACACGAAGTAACAAAAGTCATTTGTCAAGTATCAGAGCGGTAAATTGAGTGTTTACCACTTGCTTTAGTATCGTGTATGTCCTCCATTGTCCTGAATACAATGTACAGGATTGGATTTTCATGGAATAGACAAGAGTCTGAAAGAACACCTGTGGAATCTGTACCCACTCATTTGTCAAAGAACACCTGTGGAATCTGTAGCCCTTCATTTGTCAAAGAACACCTGTGGAATCTGTACCCACTCATTTGTCAAAGAACACCTGTGGAATCTGTAGCCCTTCATTTGTCAAAGAACACCTCAGCTCTTAGAGACTGTGTAGAGGTCTTCCACGGGAAAAACAGCGGCCAAGCTCGTCCCACACCTGCTCAGTTGGTGCCATGTCAGGAGACAGTGATGGCCAAGGCAGGACATCAATGTTGTTTGCCTGCAGAAAAGCAGTGGTGGCTCGAGCGGTGTGGGGGAGGGCGTTGTCGTGTTGGAAAAACTGCAGCTCTGGGTGTTGACCAAATAACGGCACGACGTGGTTTTTTTAAACCTGTTGGTACGTGGTCACAGGCTGGTCGAAGAAGTACAGTGGTGTGCGATAATCGTGGCTGAACGCTCCCCATACCATGACGCTGCCTCCTCCCCACCTATCGACGTCCAGCATGCAACAGTTGGCGTAGCGCTCGCCGGGGCGTCTCCAGACCCTTCTTCTCCCGTCAGCATGCGAGAGGGCAAACCGACTCTCGTCAACTGTAAATGTTGCCTGGCCTATTGCAAACGTTGTTGACGGTGCCTCTGTGTCAGGACAGGACCAACGTACGAGCGTCTGGCCGCAAGTCCTGCTTCCCATAAACAGCGTCTCACGGCCCATTCGGATACTGGTCCACGCCGACCAACCACTTGACGACCTGTTTCCGGTGCTGGCAGGAAACGGTCACGAAGGTGACGTTGGCAAATGTAACGGTCCTGCGCTGGTGTTGTAACTCGTGGTTGGCCGCTCCGTCGCCGATCTGCTGTAGATCCAGTAGCTGGATTTTGTTGAGACAACCGGATAACAGTCGAGTGGCTACAGTTCATGCGCCTGGCAACTTGATGTGCTGCCATTACGGCTTGGGGCATTTCCAATTGCCTTTTCACGTTCTTTCATGGAAAGTTGCGGCATTATTTACGCAGAAAATGTCAGTTTTAGTTATGGGCGAATATAATCTCTCCCTAACAGCCGAAAAATCTGTCTCGCTAAACAAATTATAGGTTTGAGGTCGACACATCGGATGTTTGCATGTTGCACGTGCGCATTGACAGGTTTGAACTGGGAACTTCAAATTCTGTGCGATCGGTAACCTCTGTTACCCGTGAACATTTGTTAACCTCAATTGATGTCACTGGATAGATTTTAGTCCAAAATGTGCTCAATCCAAAATGGTGCGTTTTTAATGACCCTCAATATAAAAATAAATAGCTAGAAACACTGAATAAAAACATTCGTTCTCTATAAATAGAAAAAGATTACCGTTTTCTCTGCCTCGATCAGACAAAGAAAGACACACACACACACACACACACACACACACACACACACACACACACACACACGCACACGCACACACTCACAGTGGCGTCGGTGGTCTAGTAGTTAAGCTACCGGACTTGTAATCGTGAAGTTGCAGGTTCGGGGTTCGAGCCTCAGCTCGGTCTGACATTGTGTCCTTGGGAAAGGCCAACATTTACACGAACTTCCCACTTGGCTCGTCCTATCGGAGACGGACGTTAAACTAGGAGGTACCGCCCCTTAAATAACCTAATAGTGTTGATAGGGGCGTAAAACCCATACCATTTCACCATTTTACACACACAGACCAAGCCAACTGTGATGCCTCACAATAAGTTAGATACACACGGATAGTCTAGCACAACAATCGTACTCAGAAAACAGCCACCGACCATGTGGGATGTTTATGACACTACTGAATCAGAACTTTAATTGCTCACCCTGAAGAGTACCAAATTAATACCTTCAAACAAGGAGACATAACTACCGCAATTAACGGTAGTGAACCAAACACAGTTATTGCTCATTTAACATAGATTACAGGGATATATTACACAAACCTTGATCTCAGCTGTCTTGACGTTGACCTTGTAGTGATCCTCTGCTAACTTCACCAACATGGGCACCAGTTTGTCTGTGTTCTCCAGCTGACCAATCATGGCGTTGAGCTGAGCCATGACGAGCGAGCAGTGGCGGGCAAACACATTGCTCTCACCCAGTTCTTTCAGGCTTAGATCTTTAAGAGCTCGGAACAGATCCTGGGTTTCCGGAAAGGTTTTAAACAAGCTGGAGACGACAAGAAACACGTAGTAATAAAGGATATGCTTGTTCGTGTATCTGTCGCCATCTATACTAATTGGTCTGTTCATGTATATATTCATTCATAGTATATTCAAAATATCTATCTATCTATCTATCTATCTA